CGTCTCCTCCCGCCTGTTATGAACTGAATTGTGTCGCCCCAGAATTTATATGGTGAAGCCCTACACCCAGAACCTCAGAATGCGGTTGTATTTGGAGATAGCACCTTTAACGAGGTGAATAAGTTAACACGAGGCCCTTAGGGTGCTCCCAATCCCATCTACCTGGTGTCCTTATGAAAAGAGGAAGAGACTCAGGGAAGCCTGCACAGAGGAAGGCTGTGGAGGACCTGGTGAGAAGGCGCCCTTCGCAGGCCAACGAGAGCGGCCTCGGAAAGCTTCCAGCACCTTCATCTCAGACTTACAGCCTCCAGAAACTGTGAGAAAATAAATGTCTGTTGTTTAATCCACCCAGTGTGCGGACTTTGCCGGGGCAGCCCTGGCAGACTAACACCCTGCTCTGCCGCAGCTCTGGCGGGACGAGCCCTAGTGAGGCTGGCTGGCCCGGCTGCCCCACCCGTTGCAGGTGGCCCAGAGCAAGTGAGGCCCCGCAAGCGGGAGCTTTCAGCTGGCGAGCATTCAAGGTTTTGGCAATTATGCCAGAACTATGAGGGGAACTGCCTGGGACCTCATCAGAGGGGCAGGGAGGCTTGGGCCTGCAGCCTGGCTTGTAGGGATGATGCGGAAAATGTTGATTCCGGGGATGCGGCCAGCTGCCGGGACCCCTACTGCCAGAATGCCCCAGGCCCACGTGCCGCAGCCTGTTTCCGGCCACGCTGCTTGCATGATCCTGATTGGGTAATTTTTGAATCCCACTGTTTTTGGTTGGATGTTAAAGCCTGTTGTTGATTGGATGTTAAAGCTTGTTGCTGATTGGATGTTAAAGCTTGTTGCTGATTGGATGTTAAAGCTTGTTGCTGATTGGATGTTAAAGCTTATAGTTGATTGGACGCTTCTTGAGCCCTACCAAGGGTATAAAAGCAGGGGCAGAAGGGCAGGAAGGAGGAGAACATCGGAAGACACGAAGAGAGCTGTAATGCTAGGTGTGCTGAGCCTGCTGTGGAAGAATAAAGGCTGTTCTCCGACTTTTCCTGTGCCGCTCAGTTCTTTCCCCGGTCAAATGAATAAGAGCTGTAACGCTTAGCTGTGCACACTGCCAGAACAGGGACAGTTGGGGAAAGAGTGCGAGCGCTCTCCCTGCGCCCTAGCCAGGTAGCCCAATTAATGAAGCAACGCAACTAACACAAGGGCTGTCTGGAAAGTATCCAGCCATTGTTAACATAATGAGAACAGTTAGCTTGACGTCAATGTACCCTGGCAGCCAAGGCGAGTGGACTGGGATGCGCATGCGTGAACAATGATGACCTCACTGTACTAGTGATGCCATTACTAAATGTACTAGATGCCATTGAGATGCCATTACTAGATACCACTGAGTGAGCACATGTACTGTGTGGCCATCACATGCTAAATGACTGAGCGAGTGGAGCAACGAATTTGCATCAAATTTTGTGTTAAACTTCAACATTCCTCTGAGGAAACTGTTCGGATGATTCAGAAGGCTTTCGGGGATGATGCAACGAGTGCAGTGCAAATAAAAGCGTGGCACAAATACTTCAAATGTTGTCAAGAATCTGTTGAAAACGATCCATGTTCTGAAAGACCTGCAGAACAGGCAGAACACCTGAGAATGCTGAACGTGCATGGGTTAGGTTGAGAGATGCTGGAAGAACTGTGTGAGGTCCCAAGGTGCCTGCTTTGAAGGGGACTGAGGCATAGTTTGTGTCTTCTTCAATAAATATCTCTATTTTTCATATTGCATGGCTGGATATTTTCCGGACAGCCACTTCCTAGCCGCCAGGCACCTTCCTCGGCCCTCTCTGTGGGTGAATTGCTTTAGCCCCCACACGTGCGGGCCTCCTCCTTTCTCACCTGAATGCAGGACGTGCAGGAAGGCCTGGCACTTGGCCGGGTTCAGTGTTCTGAGGCACCAGGCGCAGGCAGCCTGGCCCCCACGGCCCAGGGAGGGAGGAAGGCTCCTTGGGAGAAGGGAAGCTTTTGCTGGGCCTGGAAGCACAGGAAGGATTTTGACAAGCAGGGACAAGGAAGAAGTGAAGGAACAGTCGGAAGCAAAGACACGAAGGTGGGAGGAGCCAGGTTTGTCCCAGTAATATCCAGTGAGGGGTCTGGAAGTAAGGAGTCTGGTGAGGAAGGCGGCCAGAAAGATGGGGGCCAAGGTATGGCGCACCCCAACAGCACCAGCCAGGAGTCATGGGTAGCCATGTGGGAGCAGCAGGGTCACTCGCCTGCATGTTTACTTTTTCCTCATCCTCACAAGGACCCAGTGGGCTCATTCTACCTGTGCACAGGTGCCCCTCACAATGACAACATAAGGTAATAGTGACACGGACAGGACTGGCTGGAGACCAGTCAGGGAACAGTGTGGACAGTTGTCCAGGGACACCAGGACTGATCCTGGTGGGAGTGAAAAGAAGGTGACTGAGGGCAGGGCCACCCCAGGACTGGGAGGGTGACAGCAGTGGGTCTATGCAGTTAATGAGGGAAAGAGGAAGGGGACAGGGTAGATGGTGTGGCCGGCGACTCAGTTTGGGTGGCTACAACACGATACCACAGACCGGGTGGCTTATAAAAAACAGAAAGTTACTTCTCACAGTTCAAGAGGCTGGAAGTCCCAGATCAGGGTGGCAGTTGGGTTCCGTGAGGGACCTCTTCCACGTCGCAGATGCTTCTTCTTGTGTCCTCACACGTTGCAAAGACAGCTCTCTGGGTCCCTTTTGTTGGGTACTAATCCCATCATGAAGCCTCCACCCACAAGACCTCATTATCTCCCAAAGGCCCCACCTCCTAATCTCAAGGGTGTGGGTAGAATTTCCACACTTGAACTTGGAGTAGACACAAACATTCACTCATAACACCCAGTCCTGGTGACAATCCATGAAATGAACGGGGCAGAACACAGAGGGAAGCCCACCTGTTCCACCTTCCAATTAGAAACACGTATTTTGTTCCTACAAAACTCTGCTGTTGCCCACCTGGGTCTAACAGGACTCCCACAGGCTATCGGAAATCAGCTTCCCATTTCTGCAAAGCCATGTTAGACCATCTGCTTAAGGAACCATTTGATGACAGAAGACCACTGGAAGAGTCCTGATTGCCACGCCCAGCCCTGTCTTGCCCACTCACGCTCTCTGTGAGCTGGGAAATCGCCTGCCCTCTCGCAGCCTCAGTTTGCACATCTGCGATTCAGAAGGAAGGGAAGAGCAGGCCCTTGGTAGGCTGAAGGGGGACAGGGCACAGTATTTGGCGGGGGAGTGGTAAGTGCATGTGTTTGCAGCATCCTTCAAAATCACGCTGCCAGAGTGCAAAAACACAGACTAACGCGGTTCAACTCGGAAAGCACAACAGGGCTTTCGGCTCAGCAGCTGGTGGAGCCTGCTTGCCTCCCGGCCCGCTACAGGCTGGCAGGAGCCAGACAATACACCTGGGATTTTGCCGGGCGGAAACTCTCCCCCAGCCTCGTGACGCGTCAGTGGTTCTGTGTTCGTGACCATTGTCCTCTAAGCCTCTACTGGTTAATTCAAAAAACCACTTAACATTACATCAAAGCAGTTCACTAACATCTTTCCTGGCCCCAAACAAAAGGAAATTCACTTTAGAGAACCGAATTTATTTGCAGTTCTCCTCTCAAGAGGACACATACAAAAGGAGACTACATTTAACAGAAAAAAAAAATCAGGACAATTTGCATGGAGAAGGAACTAAAACTGAGATTCAAGTTCTAGGCCTTGCTATTAATCCATCGTGAGAGGGCAAGGGAGTTTATCCTGGCTCTGTGACTCAGTTTCCTTTCCTGCAAAATGAGGAGTTTGAACAGGGTGGTTTTATAATTATTTGTTAGCAAACCCCAGTTTCCCCCCCCAGAACTTTAATATTAAAAAGCAGGTATTAAAAAAAGCAGACATACATATAAAATATATGTTCATATTTATAAACAACCTCAAATGCGTATTTGACTATTACAAAAGAATGAAACAAGGCTGTTTGTGTATCACATTTTAGTTGCCTTATATCACAAAAATTTCTCACCGACATAAAGGAGTGTTTGCAAATACTAACAGTGGCTTTCATTCTTTCTGACTTTTCTCTTTTGTAATAATTGCCTTGCCGGCTAAGGTACTCACTAACTAGGGTAGGGCATAGCAGGTTTTAAGCTGAAGTCATCAAAAACAAAACAAATAAAAAAAAAAACAAAAAAACCACTAGCTAACCAAGCAGTATAAGTTAATACATTTGGGTGTACCAATAAATTTGAGTATGCATTTTAATAGCACTTTTTATCACAGGCTAAAATAAGTTTTAAAAAGGAAATCAGAATAAAGCATTTGAACAGGGCTTTAAGCTCCTCTGTGGAGCCCTAGGGTTCACAGAGACTCTTTGAAATCTGCAGGGCTACCCATTCTCTAAAGTGTCTTGTGTCTGAGAGTCTGTGATCCCTGCCTTTCCCCACAACCCTGACCCCCACCCCAGCCCCTTCATTCATTCTACAAATATTTATTGAGTCCTGCTGTGAATCAGCATAGTTTAGGCCCTTGAGACACTTCAGTGAATTTCCCCAAATATGTACACACACTGAGCACAAGAATTTTACCCTTACACTTGCAGTTGTTTCATCTATAGCTTTAAAAATAGTTACAGTTTATACTGTATTAGACATAGCACAGTTCTTTTCTAAGTGACTGAGTTTCCCACTCAGTTACCAATTCCCAGGCATTAGCAGAAGACGATAGGATAATCCATCAACCTGCTAATAGGCAACTGCTGAAGACAAGAGATCTGCTGGTATGTTTTTCCCTTTCATTCTTTGGCTAAACAACTCTTTAGCCAAGCGAGGTTCCTACCAGACCCAAACTCTCCTTCTTTGAGTTTTGGGAAGGCTTCTGGGTTGAAAATATGATGCCCTATTTAGAAAAACTTATGGGTTCTCTCAAAATGTTCCAAACTGACCAACTGATCTGTAGTCTTTGTACACCTGGAGAATAATATATTGTCAAAGAAGCCTATTTTATTAAAAACCTCTAACCCTTTGCAAACAACCCTCAGAAGCCCTACCCAGCTGATGGTAGGGTGTTTAATTCTTCCAGATTTTTAGAGAATGCCAGTGGGGATTCAGATTGTCATTTGGTTTCTGTGCTGTGACTTCTTAACAAGGTTATTCCTGCAAGAATAGGAGTAAATAAGTAGAATAAATCAGCTTGAGAGTCCTTCCCCGATAAGTAGTGCTGTTCTTTTTTCTGTGAGCTCAAACAGAGAGGGAGCAGGTGTGGGCCTGTCTCTTCATCAGATGCAATTCATCTGCTTGGAGAGGGTATGTAGGAGGACGTCGTAGGCACACTCACGAGAGCCAGAAGGGCAAACAATTTTGTCAACTGTCCTGAAAATACAGAAGAGAATTAAAAAATTGGGCAAGCAAAGCGAACCACTCCAAAATTCACAAAACCATTTGGCTGATTTCTTTGAAAGTATAAAAACATCCCGTACTGAGTTCAACTTAGTTGAGAATGACAGACTGTTTAGACTATTTAATAAACAGCTTGCTGTCTTCCTGAAGTCCCAAATAAGAGTGACTTCCAAGAGTACGGGTGCTCCTGACTTACAGTGAGGCTACGTCTCAACAAACCCATCGTGCTAAGCTGGAAGCATCATTAAGTCGAAAATGTATTGACTACACCTGGCCTACTGAACGTCGGAGCTTGGCCTAGCCTGCTTCAATACCCTGGTAAAGTGCTGAATAGCTCATGAATTTGATGACTACAGTAAATTCTAGAGTACAGTGTCAGTGGTGTATCCTCGTGATCGCTCGCCTATCACGAGGGGGCATCTACCGCATATCAATAGCCCGCGGAAAGATCAAAATTCAAAATTCGAAGTACGATTTCTATTGAACACGTATTGCTTTTGCACCATTGTAACATTGAAAACATCATGGGTCAAACCTTGGTAAATTGGGGACCCTTTGTGTACGTCCTTAACTTCATCCACTAGGGGGCACCAAAATCCCAGAAACTGCCTTCCAAGAGTAGCTTTAAGTGAATTGGGTGAACAAGGGGGGTGTCCAGACCACGCTACTCTGAAAGCAGTAGCGTTTACTGCTGGAACCCCTCTACAGTGGTCCTGTCATGAGGCTGCACAAAAGCATGTGGACATTTGCACTGACTGAGAGCTCGCTCTTTCCCAAGGCTGCTGTCCCTATCTTCGGGAGATGCAATGGGCTCTGCACCATTCCAGTTCTGCCATTCGAGGCCCCATGGAACAAGTCTGAGCCTGCTGCTTCTCCACGGCCAGCCCTTCCAGTATCTGCCTGCAGCTCTCACGTTCCCTCTGAGTCTTTAAAATAAGCAGCACGGTTGTTTCACCATTTCTCATAGTGCATTATTAATGACGGTTCTTTCTTTTCCGTTGCAAGTTACCGAAATGGGCTGCGGTAAGCTTCCCCTGAGATGTCTCATTGAATCAAGAGAAGAGCTGAACATCTACAGCTGGAGCAAGCAGTGGCTGGAGAGTCAGAGCAGGAATCCATGGTCCTCCTACTACAGTCCTGCCACTCATGTAACTCATGGGTGACTGTCATCTCTGTGCCACTCGACTCCAAATTTCACTTCCTGCTGAGACACTGAAGACCCACCAGGGATCAAAGGCCCATCCCTGGATGGGCCAGCCCAGGGCAGGGGACCTGGGTCACATAACCTAGACATGGCTACTAAGTCCCAATACACAGGAGAAAGAAAACTCACGTTCTAGTTTCTCATTACTCTGATCTCTCCTGTGAACGTGGATCATCTGTTAATGTTCCCTTTAAAGCGTGGGGCCAAGTGCTGAGAGCAGATCTGACCACACCAAGCAGAGCAGGACAATCACTCTCCTATTCTGGACTCTATGTTCCATTATGATGGCCAGCAGTGGCGAGCTTTTTACAAATTCCTATTACTCATCTCAGCTGTTGCTAGGTTACCTTTCTTCCACTTTATACTTTACTCGTTCATTCTGTTGACTAAAAATGCCAAACCACATCCCTGGGAATCTTCACTGGCAACATCTGGGATGCTGTTCCAGCCTGCCAAAATCTTTTGGATTTTGATTCTGTCACCCATTGTAGGATAAATGTATGCCAATACTGTTTTTGTCTATTAATTTAGCAAAGTTTCATTTTGTATTGTTTTGTTTTGTTTAAGAAACCAAGTTTGGCAGGTAAGTGAGATAAGACAGTTGCTGCGCTACACAGAAAAATTATAGAAAGTGTGTGAGTGACCCAGTCGTTCTACCTCTAGGAATTTATCACACAGAAATTATCAGAGACATAAACACAGATTTGAATGCTGAGATATTTTTCTCATTACCATTATGATTGAAAAAAAATTGAAACCTATTTACTGCCCAACAGTAAGGGAATGCTTACATAAATTTTAGGTTTTTGTTTTTTGGTTGTTTTCGGCATGAGGAACATTTATATTGGCTCTTTGGGGAGTATACATTAAAAGCAAAATCAGAAAGGAATCAGGCAAAAGTCCGGTTGGCCATGCAAGCACCTCAGAGTCGAATCCTCTCCTCTCAGTTCTGTTGTCAGGCCATAAATTTTGATATATTCATTCAATAAAATATGTTTGCCACCAATAAAAATGTTGTTTACAAAGATGTCCTGAAGACATAAGGAAATATGTGTTATGTAATATTAATACATACACAATTGGTCTACGTTTAGAAGAAATGTAAATGCTCTCAATAATGTGCTTTTTATCTTTTTATTTTTTGTTTTATTATTACTTTTTTTGAGACAGAGTCTTTCTTTGTAGCCTTGGCTAGAGAGCAGTGGCACCATCATAGCTCACGGTAACCTCAAATTGCTGGGCTCAAGTGATCCTCCTGCCTCAGCCTCCCGAGTAGCTGGGACTATAGGTGCATTCCACCATGCTTGGCTAATTTTTCTATTTTTTTGTAGAAACTGGGGTCTCCATCTTGTTTAGGCTGGCCTTGAACTCCTGAGCCCAAGTGATCCTCCCACCTTGGCCTCCCAGAGTGCTAGGATTACAGGCGTGAGCCAACACAAACAGCCTCTTTTTATTTTTAATAGATAATAAACTGAAAAAATATGCCAAAAAGTTAACTTTGGCTTATCTCTGGGTGATGGAGTTTTGGTGATGTTTGTGCCATCTTTATACTTTTCTATGTTTCTTTTATTTTATAATGAATATGTATTTCTTCTCTAATGGAAAATCTTTTTAGTATTGGGGAAACTGGGGGTGGGGGTGGGGGGAAGAATTGGGGCAGGAATCATCTGAAAAATGTATTTTTATTATAAAAGTAGAAAATGAAAATTATATTTCTCTCATAATCTTACCACTTAATCTCTTAGGATTTCTTCCTGTCTTTTTGATTGTTTGTAATTTTTACAGTGACTAAAACCATATAGTAGTGGAAACTATTTAAAGTACGCTGGAATGATCTTATCACTCAGCTTTTTTCTTTTCCTTTCCTTCTCTCCCTTCTCACCCATTTTCTTTTGACTACTGGTCATTAAGATAAGTTCGGGTGAGAGGAGAGGTACAGTCAGCACCCTAGTTACCCCATTACTAACTCGATTCCTTGATCGAGTTGACTGTGGGGTGATAGTCCAGGTACTAGGATTAGTCACCTTTTACGGTGTAGGGAACTTAATATCCAGTGAGATTTAGTGGCTTGCCGGTCATTACACACTGGGCAGGAGGCAGGGCTGAATTGAAGCACAGCCTTCAAAGCCCACTTCTTCATGTCCCTGTCATGAGCACCAAGCCCATGGGGTTTGAGGACAATCAGCCTGGGGTCTGATTTCAGACGGGGTGAGTGAATGGAGCCGCAGACAAAGGCAGCAGCAAGAGGCAGCAGCTGGGACGCTCTGGTTCCCGCTGGGCCAGACGCTGGGCTTTTTGGAGGAGCTCCAAAGATCCTGGCCTCTTTTCCCACAGGAGAGCTCACTGTTGTGTTCTTACACACACCCTTTGTTTTTAAGTCTCTTTGTCCCTTCCTGGTGGGCCATCGATCAGAGGGGCAGCCATGAGGCCCACCTGGTGAGGGCAGGGCTTGCCTTTCTCTGGAGTGTGTGTGTGTGTGTGTGTGTGTGTGTGTGTGTGTGTGTGTGTGTGTTGGGTGTGGGTGTTCCAATCACACGCAGGATAGAATGGAGTTCCCCAGGGCTCCCTCCAAACTGCACGATCTTCACCAGTCCCCAGCAGCACTGCCCATTCTTCTATCAGCCCCTCCTAGACCTCCTCCTTAGGTTTCTGAATGACTCTTCATTCCTTTTCTCTGTAAAGAAGAGAAAAGTATCCTCAATTGCACTCACACCGGTGTCCCCCTCTGGGAGCTCTGCCTGTGCGGAACTGAATCCATGTCGCAGATGAGCATCATAGGCCCGTAGAGCCAGCCCCAGGCGGGATGCAGGGCCAGCCCGGAGCAGGCAGCCCTTCGGCCCAGGGTAGGGCCCCAGGAAGACTTGAGCAGGTCCTGCAGAGACCTGCTCATGTATTATCCCACAAACATTGACTCAGCAGCTACTAAATGCTTGAGAGGGATGTGATGTGAGCCCCACAGCTTTTTGGTGACTGAATTCAGAGGTAAAGCTCCGAGAATCTGAGGCCTTGTGCCTCAAGGCTCAGCCCACAAGTCCCAGCAAACTCAGTGCATAGATGGGGCCAGGCAGCCGTGGGGTGAAAAGGGAAAAAGTAAGACGGTGGAGTTCTGGTGACCTTAGTGCTGCAGCAACATCCTTGCCCCCCGACTCCGTTAGTTTCCCCATGTAAAGGGCTTGGTCAAAGTGCATACAGAGTCTAAAATCAAAAATAGTTTGAGCCACAGGAGATTATTAAGGTGAATTATTTTAAGATAAAAAAGTGTGAAGCCTAATGCATCATCAAAATAATCATCGTTATTTTAAGATAGCAATAATTACTTTATGTGGGAAAGGAAAGAGACAAGTTTCGTCCTAAACATGTAGTTTAATGTTCCTTTGCAGTTCATAGGTTCACTTTTTTAACAGGCTAGTAAAAAAAATGTGAAAAATCTAATTTGAAGTTGCAATTTTTCTATATCTACAAATCTTAGTATTTTTCATAAACATAAAGATACATTATATCTTAATTCTCTCTTAAGAAATATTATCCTTTTTTTGAGTTTACACTCTTATACACTCTTGAGTTACACTCTTAGGTGTTATAATGACTTTCTCTTTTGAAAGGATGATAATAAAGAATAGCTACTCTTCTTAAATATTCTTATGTGACAAAACAAAAAGTTGACAATCTTATGTTAGTCCCTGTGATGGTCTGAATTCATATGTTGAGATCTAATCCCCAATGTGGAGTTTTAAAGAAGTGGGGCCTTTGGGAGGTGATTAGGTCATAAGCCCTCATGAATGGAATTAGTGCCCTTATAAAAGATGCCCAACGGGGCTTGTTTGTCCCTTCCACAGTGTGAGGACACAAAGAGACATGGCATCTGTGAACTAGAGAGCAGCCCTCACCCGACACTGAATCAATCTACTTGCACCTTGATCTTGGACTTCCCAGTCTCCAGGACTGTGAGAAAGAAGTTTCTGGTTTTCATAAGCCACCTAGTTTATGGTATTTTGCTGTAGGAGCCCAAGCAGACTGAGACAGTCTCCATATATATTTTTAAATGTCTACTGTTCTAATATTTTTAATGGCATAGCAATTATGGAACTGCCTTTATCTCACACTCTTCCATTCTCCTCCACCCACAAAAAATGGAGAAACAGAAATGCAACTCTTTCTGTGATAAGCCCAGGCAATATCTGCAACCAGAACTGCAGTATCTGATAAAAGGCTGCCCGCCCTCTGCAAGGCAAACAGGAGGGCAGGGAGGTACTGAAAGAGACGCTGGGTACCAGAGTGTGCAGAGCCAGGTTTGACCCCTGTGAGAAGCTGAGAATGTGGCACTGAGAGAGGATTCCTTCAGATTCACCATATTTCCTGGAAGCAATCTATTTGTGGGTGAGGCAGGATGGAAGCAAGAGCTTCTTTGCATTGTGAGCAGCCTGCACCTGCTAACGTCAGCTGGCTGGAGAAAAACAAAGTTTAAACTACCCACCCACCCAGACAACCCTCAGTCTTAGGAAACTGCACTGTGATCCAGGGAACACTCCTGCAAGCTCTGTGTGTCAGATAGCAATTGCTGTGTAACAAACCACCCCACAACATAGTGGCTTAAAACAACAACTATTTTATTTGCAAATGACTGTGTGGCTCAGTGGTTTGGGCTGGGTTCAGTGGGACAGTTCTTTGGGTGGTCTCACTTGGGATACCTTATGAGGCTGCTGTCTTCTTGTTGTTTGACTGTCTGGATGTGACTTTCCTCACATGGCTGGCAGTTGGAGCTGGAAAAAGAAATTCAGCTGGTGTCAGACTTTCTCCATAACAACTTGCAAGACTAGAAGTCAGTAGGCCAATGCCTTCCAAGTTTCAAAAGAAAAATAGTGACCTAAAAATAAGGCTACAGAAATATGTTTTTGAATGTACAAGAATTTGGCGAATATATTATAGCTTCCAGATGCTCTCTTTGAATAAACCACTAAAGAAAAGGTGACGTTTAGGCAACTGCTGTGGGCTAAACTGTGTCCCTCCAAATTCCTATGTTGAGGCCCTAAACTCTAGTACCCCAGAAGGTGACTGCATTTGGAGATGGGGCCTCTAAAGAGGAATTAAGGTAAAATGAGGTCAAATAAATGGGCCTCAATCCAGTACAACTACCTCCTTATAAGAAGAAGAGACTACAGGGGGTAGATCATGGCCATCTACAAGCCAAACAGAGAAGCCTCAGAAGGGACCAGTCCTACCGGCATGATCTTGGATTTCTAGCTTCCAGAATTGTGACAAAAGTAATTCCTGTTGTTTAAGCTACAAAGTCTGTAGTACTTTGTTCTGGCAGCCCTAGCTGACTAATATACCAACCAGCACAAATTGCTAAAAGTAATAATGAAAAAAAAGAGGGGTGAGTACTGAGCCATTTTCCCACAGGACCAACTCTAAAGCAAACGTGGATAATACCTCATATATTGGCAGAGCGTGTCTCAGTGCATAAACCTGGTTCTAAGAGAACTGGGGTCCAGTTTTCCCAGGTCTCCCAGAACGGTTACCTTGGGCGACTCTGTTGGGCTCTCTGGGTCATACTTTGCCTCATGGTCATGAGTGACTTTCAAAGTGGGCTCTGGAGAGTTCTAGGCATTTGGCATAAAAGACTCAGGGCCTGCCAAGAGGATGAAGAGGCAGGTAGGTCTATGGCGTTTGGACTCTTCTCCACTTCATGGGCCACCCATGGGCTTCTCAGTGACATTTCACTGGGGGGAGCTGGTCATGGCTTAAAAAGCCTGAACCGGAGCAAACTGGGTCGTTCTAAGTTCCCTGCCTACTCAAAAAGCTGTCTGCACTTTAGGGTTTGTTTCATCCCCGTCACCTTGAGGAAATGCAAGGGTTTGTTGATAACTTCTACGGGATTAGGCTGAAAGTGGGGGTGTTAGCACCCGAGCTCCTAGCCAGGACCCACCACGAGGCGGCCAGCCACGCCTGGTGCTCTCTCAGGTCGGGGCCTGCTGCGGAAAGTGGAGATTGCTGCTTCGGACTGAGATGCCCAAAGCTAGGGAGGGAGCAGATCTCAGGAGCTGGCCGCCTCTGCGGTCCCCTCCCGGGAAGAGCTCAGAGTGACCCAGCAGCCACGGGCGGGAAGAAGCTCTGTTGGAGGCATCTGGGCCAAGGCAAACCTTCACCACTGCCGTCCTTCTCCCTGCTCCCCAGCTAATGGCTTGGTTCTCAGACCAGACCTCCTCGGGGCCCAGGAATTCTCGTTCATAAGTAAACAAACAGCAAACAGCATCCAGGAGCTGGCCTAACATTTCTCCTCAAACTGTCCTTGAAGAGCCTCCCGGAGGGCAACATCCCCCACAGAACAGGACCACTGCGGGCTGCTCTCTCGGGAGCCGAACAGAGTCTCTGCTCTCTTGTCAGGACCTATGGAAGGTTTTCATTGGGAGCACCGGAGTGTTTCCAAGGTGTGTGAAAGGGGATGAATCGCCTTATACCGTGAGCGGGAATTGTCTGAGGAGAACCTGACAGAATGTTCCACGGGGACTCAAGCAGTTGTTTCTTTTCCAGGAAATTTCAGACAAGTTCATAGACCACCATGAGCTTGAAAACAAACTGTTAATAAAGAGATTTCCAGATGGGCTGGAGCAGGAATTGGGAAACCCTGAAGCCACTCACCAAAAAAATAAATAAATAAATAAACAGTAAAAACAAGTGGGAGCCAGAGGACAGGGGGTGTCCTGAATGACAGGGACTGTCATCTGGGGAGAGCAGAGGCCACAGGAAATTGTCAAGGGCTCTGCAAAGGCTCAGCAGGCAGGGCAGCATCAGGCTCTGGGAGCCAGCCAGGCTGACCGAGGTCTCTTTTACTAGGTTTCTAATGGCTCCTCGGAGACCTAGTGTTGGACAAGAATGAGTAGAGCGGCCGCTTGTCTGATGTGAGTCCCCACAGCGCAGTTTGGATGTGCTTTTTGTGTGACTGAAAAGCCCTGGTTGGCTCTGAAAGGGAACACGATGCAGCTGGCCCATAAACTGCCGTTGTTTGAGGTTTGGAAAATTCTCTTCTGAGAGAGTCAGAACAACCCTGAGTTGTGACTGGGGCCAGAGCTCAGGCAACTCGGGGAGGCAGCTGTCACAGGGGGCATCTGGGCCGGGGGCCTCGGGGGGTGGGGGGCAGCAAACCGAACACCTAATCAATGCCACAGCCACCCAAACGGGTGGAGCATGCAGCTTGGTACCTCACAACCTCATCTTCACTTCCACAGCATCTGAGACCTAGCAGAGCAGGAGGCAATCGCCGAGTTCGCAAGCAGGGAGGCAAGAGGAAGGACGATTCCAGGTGATGGTCCATGCCACTCACACACTCTGCCATAGAGGATCTGGCTCCAACAAACCCCAGAGGCAGGTTCAGAACTCAACGCCCAGCTGAGCCAGAGACTTGTACTTGTTAATTACCATTCCAGGTTGCAAAATGCTGGCTTTGGTAACCAGCTCATTCTGCCCCTTCCATATTTAGAACATCTCTCAGTTATTCATTTATTTATTCATTTTTATTCAGCAAGCATTAATAACCACAAGGTGCAAAACAAAAACTACAGCAACAATGACATGGTCTGGTGTGAAGATGTGGTGTGAACCGTAGTCGTAAGGAAAGCAGAAGTTCCCACTCAGAGAAACATGCAGGAGACGGGCCAGGTGCGTGGTGGGCCCAGGGCAGGCAGGGGCGCAGCCCCCCAATGCCGGCACTACCTGGGGGACCATTTAGAAGCGATAATGACACTCACACCGAATTGATCTGCTTTTATTATCACCAGGCCCTGGCAAATCTAAACGTCAGTAAAGCAATCTTTTGTTGGTCTAAGTTTCAAACTATGGCTGCCGCTAATGTTGCGTTTTCATAATGTATGTGTGAACTTCAAATTAGCCTGCTTTTTATACCGTATCCTTTAAGAAATGCTGTGTTCCACACGGGACTTAACTCAGAGAACATCCAGTTAGAGTCAGTCCTGACTCAGCTACACATATTCATTTCAAGTGTGCGTCTTTAACAGTTTGCAACTGTTGAAGTTCTCTTAGGATATAGCTCATCTCCCCAAAACCCTATGGCATGGCACATGTGTCCATTTAAAGAATAAACCCCAAAGAGACCCTGCCAGTGCAATGTTTGTGAACAGGAAGAAACACAACCTGAGCTACTTCAATTCTGTCATTGCACATGGCCAGTGGGATGTTTAATTTGTGTTAAGTCTTAACGCTGAGATGTGTGATATTTTTCTTTGGTTAAGTACAAAATTCAATTCATTCAGGTTATATTTTACTGAATTTGAATGATATCTTTACACTGAATTGTGTATTCTTCTTTCTAAATTGTGAATTGTTTTAAAAACTAAAGGATGAATCAAGAATAGAAAAAATAATTTATTTTTAAATTATTTTATCAAAATAATTATTTCTGAATATTATGGAATAGTTTATCACATGGAGGAGGGTGGTGTTATATACACTCTGATGCAGTGTCAAATGCCCCGGGTACACTGATTGCTGTGTTCACCCCTCCCGTTCTTTCCAGCCTTCTTCAACCTGCTCGATGGCCAAGGAGGTTGACCTGTGAGGTGAGACGCAACCTCGCTTCTGGCTTCCCATTGGATTTGGCCAATGGGGAGCTGTCAGAGGAAGTCAGGAAATCAGAAGAGGGGAGATGATGTTGGGTTATTTATTCCACCACCTGCCTCCCTGTTGAGTCACCCAGTAGGCTGCCCCTCCACAGAAGGCCACAGCTCCGTTAGGTGGCTGTCTGCCCACAGGTCCCCACTCTGGTTCCCTGTAATTGTGCCCACTCCTCTTCTTCTCAGGTCTAGAATTGACCCTGACTGTGTATGAGTCAGGGTCCCAGAAAAACTGTGGGACTCTGAGATTAGGGCACTATGAGGAGAGTCTTAACAAAGAAACTATTTACAGAGATGGCAACGGGCTATTGGGAATCCACTAAGGGTGGTGCAGCGTTCTGGAGCTAAAGACAGCAAGGCCGTGTTGTCACTATGGTCTGAAGGGGCAAGGAGGAAGAGCTCCGAGGAAGGACACAGCAAACCCACAGCGGGGGGGACAGATGCACAAGTGTCCCATCTGCACTCTGCTCCTTCCCTCCCATCTCTTAGCGGCGCTCAGAAGCTAGACCACCAGGCAGCCTGTCGTGCATCACACAGGCAGCAGGTGGGGACACTGAAAAGGCAGGGAAGGGTGGAGAGCAGATCCGGAGGGACAAATGGAAAGAACTCAGCAGAGGTGGCAATGGCCACTCACTGTCTCTAACCCCAGGATACATCACAGTGCCACCTACTGAATTATTTCCTCTCGTCTTCAAACCCACTCGGCTGTTGCCCGCTCTGGGATGCTGGGTCTGAGCTTCTGCTTTGCTGGGCGTCCCTCCTCACTTCTGCTACTAGGGGCTCTGCAGGAAAACTGGGAGTGTGTGAAGGAGGAAGAGACTTTTTCCTTCCCTCTTGCTCCCTGTGGTTGTCCTGTTTGCCTCCCAGTCCTGCCAACCTCGCCTCTGCCTCGCTTCCTCACCCCAGCAGAAGACACTTCCTGCCAGTAGCAGCAGTTGAAGCCAGTTTGCAGTTTTCTCAACACTTGCAGAACTTGCTTCGTTGCACCTCCTTGCAAACACCAGCAGCAGCCGGCCAGCACCCCCTCCTCAGTGAGTCCCAGCCCTGCGGGAGCCCTCCTCCGAGCTAGGGGACTGCAGCAGCAGCAGCTTGGTGGCTGCCCCTTCACCAATGTCTGAGTTTCTGCTGCGTGGGAGCCCTCATAAGTTTTAATGATGTCTTTTCTTTGTTTCCCCAGCCCTGGAGGAAATGGGTTCTTTGTGCAGTGGCGTTGCCATGATTACATGGTGTTCTCTTTTTGGCACAAGATGAAAGGGGCCTGGGTCCCTGAATCACAATGTGGAGGACAGCTACCCACCAACCAAGAACACAGTCATCAAGCTGTTATATGAGCAAGAAAGACATTCTGATTGTGCAAAGTCACTAAAATATGAATATTACTTCTCACAGCAATGAACTGTACCTAACTATTATGCCTGAAAAGCTTTTTAGAACACATGTTTCCAGGCTCCATCCAAAATCAGAATCTTCCAGCACTGTGATAATCTATACTTTTAAAATGCTATTTGTCCTGGTTTGGAAACCACACGCTAAATTGCCCGGAACAGATAGATATATATTAGCATTCACCAGGTAGCAGCTACCCAAAGCACAGATATGGTACTTGGAAGGAGTTTGTCCATAGCCCAAGAATTAGCCTTGTACCTTTTAACTGTTCTTTATAATAGAAATGTCACTAACAGACTCAGTTCAGAGGATATCAGCATGAAGTGAGCCATAGAAGTATTTGCCATTCCCAACAGGAAAGGGCTTTTAGATATTCTGATTGTCTGCCAGTGTTAGCTGCCCCTGGAAATCAAAATCTTTGCCAACTATGTGACAGACACTGGGCAGATTTACAAGATGAGAGACAATAGCTGGGGCTCCTTCCTACTCTGTTTAAAAGCCCTGACCCTGAGAACTCAGGAACTCCTGGCACAAGATGGTCTGATACAGATATTCGTGCTCTCTTGGGTTTGGTTCACATACTCGCTTTCATTTCTATGGCTGTTTTCAGGTGACAGCAGTAATTAAGCCATGCACTTGGTAATAGGCATCTTCCCCCAGGGGTCCCACACAGGCTTTAGTTTCCAGGCCAATTGGCAAGATTTTCTAAGAGCAAATGACAGCCTCAAGAGGAGGTGAAGGAAAAGGCAGAGCCTGTCCGAGCAGCTTCATCCTGTGACAAAGGATTATGGCTAATGGTGCTGATGGCTGCCAAGTGCCAGGACCCTCCCTGGCTCCTCCGGCTGCTCTGTCTAAATGGTCATTGTTGATTATGTGTCTACACCCAGGCAGGAGAGCAAAGCAGCACAACAGAAAGCAGCTCCTTGATAGGCTCCAGACAGCTTCCTTCATAAGGGCTTTGTCCTCTGTAGAGAACTTCATAGGTCAACATTTTATACTCTGCCTAAACAATTCATACCGCTAGACAAAAAGACTCCTAGGAAGCTTAAGGGCATGTTCCCACAGTAGCCTGGTGTGCCCCAATTAGCAGTAATTATGTCTAAAGAGAGAAATATAGCTTGAAAAAATTATGGGTGTGACTTTTGACACATGGAATGGAATCAAATCTAGAAAACCCTGGGCATTTCAAAATCCAGAACCAAAACTCACAGAGGAGTGCCTCACATCTCTCCCCTGTTGAATGGGAGTATTTATTCTGATTATCAAGCCCCTGGTTTACCTTGAATGTTTGGTGAATGTGGAGCAATTAATTTACCTTTTTGGTTCATAGATCTTTGTATCCTACTATTTGAGATTCTCCCTGTGATTGGCAGAACTTTAAAGATGCCCCCCCCCCAAGATTCCTGTCCCCTGGTTGTTCAATCAAACACTGATCTAGTTACTGCTAGGGACTTTATAGATTTAATTAAGATTACAGCTTATCTTAACACAAGGAAATGATCTTGCATTAGGTAGCTGTACCCAGTCTAATCACACGAGTCTTAAAGCAGAGAATTTTCTCTAGCTGAAAGCAGAGCTGAGGCAGAAGGGGAAGTCCGAGAGGTTTAAAACAGGAGATGAACTCGATCCACCATACTGGCTATGAAGATGAAGGGGGTCAAGGAATGCAGGCAACTTTTAGAAACTGAGAACCACCCTCAGCCAACAGCAAGCAGGAAAACAGGGAACTCAATTCTACAACCACATGAAACTAAATTCTGCCAACAGCTGAATGAGCTTGGAAGTAGATTGAGCCTTCATTGTCTTGCTGGCTAATGACAGTGGGCTCAGTTCCTTGCTATGGTGGTCTCTCTATGGGTTGCTTGAGTGTCACAGGAGCTGGCTTTTCCCCAAGCAAAGGAATCAAGACAGAGAGTAAGGAGGAACCTACAATGTCTTTATATCCTAATTGCAGAAATCAAACACCGTCACATCTACCTTACTCTATTCATTAGAAATGAGTCACTAAGCAGTCCATGCTTGAGGAAGGGGAATTAGTCTTCATTTATTGAAGGAAACAGTATCAAACTATTTGTGGACCTATTGTAATACCACCATACCAGTCATAAACAGTGATGCAACTTCCTGGCAGCTTCCTGATTAAGCAGAAGTTGCATAAAACACTTTTTCCCTAAACTGCCACGTAAAATGTCCAAATACTCTGCAGCTGCCATGCTGTGAGGAAGCCTAGTCCCCATGGAAAGACCACATGTGGATACGCCAGTCGTCAGCCCAGCTTAGGTGCCAGCCAACAGTCAACATTCAACCACAGGAAATGGGAGTGCTATCAACTGAACGTCTGTATCCCTCCCAAATTCGCAGTTGAGACCTAATCAATCCCCAATCCCCTAATCAATCCCCAATTGGAACTGGGGCTATTGCAAGGTGATTAGGTCATGAGAATAGAGCCCTCATTGATGGGATTAGTGTCTTTATAAGAAGAGGCCACAGAGAGACCCCTCACCCTTCCTGCCATGTGGGGTTACAGTGGAAAGACAGCTGTCCACGAAGCAGGGGACCTCACCAGACAGTGACCCTGCCAGTGC